CTCTCTCTCTCTCTCTTACTGTGCTCTCCTTTGCTGCTCGACAAGGACTTGGTGCTCATCTTCGGTGGTCGGTGCTCATCGTTGATCCGTGCTTGGATTCGTGCTCATCATCGATCCGTGGATCCGTGCTTGGATTCGTGCTTTTTGTGCTCATCGTCTTCTCTCCATTGGTGCTCATCGTCGTCTCTCCATTGGTGCTCATCGTGTTCTCTCCTTTGGTGCTCGGACTTTTCGTGCTCGACGGGAACTTGGTGCTCATCGTGAATCCCTGCTTTTGTTTGGTGCACGACCACGTGCTCATCATGGATCATGCTTTTGGTCACCTGGTCATCATGGATCCGTGCTTTTGGTCACGTGCTGATCGTGGATCCGTGCTTTTGGTCACCTGCTCATCATGGATCCGTGTGGGAGCTTTGGTGCATGATAACGTGCTCATCTTCGATCCCTGCTTTTGGTGCTCGGTGCTCATCGTGGATACGTGCTTTTCATGCTCATCGTCAATCCGTGCTTTTCGTGCTCATCGTGGATATGTGCTTTTCATGCTCATCGTCGATCCGTGCTTTTCATGCTCATCATTGATCCGTGCTTTTCGTGCTCATCGTTGATACATGTTTTTCATGCTTATCTACAATACTATAAAAACTGCCCCATCGGCCCTCCCTCTTTCCTCCCTTTCTCCCTTGGGCCATCACCATCACCACCCCTCCTCCCTCGGCCCCTCCATTCCTGCATCGTTCACTCAGCCCGTCCGCCATTCCCTCCTCCCTTCTCCCTCGGCCCATCCTCCATTCCTGCCTCGACCCTCTCTCCTCCCCTTGGCCCTCCCTCCTTCCTACCTTTCTCCTTCCTTCTTCCCTCACTCGCTTTCTCCGTCCTTCCTCCGGTGGCGTTACCTTCCTCGGCCCTCCGTCCTCCCTGTCTTCTTGCTCTCTTATCTGGGGACGATATAGAGAGTGCATTCCATTTTTCTTATCTTTGTCAATTTGCGATAAGGGCGAGTGCATGCAGTCGCACGCAGACACACACAGGGAGGCGTAGAGAGAGAGAGAGAGAGAGAGAGAGAGAGAGAGAGAGAGAGAGAGAGAGAGAGAGAGAGAGAGAGCTGACTCAGTGTGGTGGGACTGGGGAGGAAGAGACTGAAATATGGAAAGAAACATCGATAGCCTGAAATAGCTGGCGCAGGGCAGTTATTCATAAGGCCGCTCCAAAGAGAAAAGACCGAGGGAGAATGTGGACAAGGCAGAAGATGTACGTTTTGTGGTGGAGGAGACAGACAAAGTGCAAGGAAGGAAGAGAGAGAGGAGGAAGTGTGTTAGGTGAAATGCATTTTTTCTCTCTCCTGCTTTCCCTCTCTCCATCTTGCATGTGTGCAACCGTGTTGAGATCTTAAAAGAAATGGATCGATCTTGATAACAAATGGACCATTTACGTCCACCGGATAAAGAAAAAGCACTTCTTACGTCTGGCGTTAGAAGGAAGTGCGGCCTGTCGAGGTAGGAAGGGGAAGGTAGGGAGTAGGACTGTGGCATACTGCATAGCCACACGGGCCCTGCAGGGCCCGTCCCAGACATTCAGCCTAAAAGCCTAAAACTTAGGGCTTACGGGCCCCGGTCGTTTCAGCCTGAAAGCTGAAAAACGAGGGCCTGCAGGCCCTACTCCGTTTCAGCCTATTT